TGGAAAATAATGTGTTTTTTTTTTTTACCTTAAACTGCATAAACATTTCACTACACCAAATAATGTTCTTTTTAGCAACATCATATTCCCTTTAATAGCAATTGTCAGGTTTCAATTCAAATTTCAGGTTTCACTCAAATGGCCTGGACACTATGATAAATAAACTAAAGTTAAAAAATGTTGTTGAAAAAAGCCTCTTATGCTCACCAAAGCTGCATTTATTTGATCATAAATACAGTAAAAATATTTGTCATGTTGCGAAATATTATTAGAATTTAAAATAACACTTTTCCATCTGAATGTTTAAAAACTGACTTTACTCCTGTGATGACAAAGCTGAATTTTCAGCATCATTACTCCAGTCTTCAGTGTCACATGATCCTTCAGAAATCATTCTAATATGCTGCTTTGCTGCTCAAGAAACATTTCTTATTATTATGAATGTTGAAAACAGTTGAGCTGCTTAATATGTGTGGAAACCATGCTAGCTTTTTTTCAGGATGAATTCAAGTTCAAAAGAACAGCAGAAAGTTTTTGTTTCATTACAAATGTATTTGCTGTCACTTTTGATCAACCTTGCTGGATTAAATCTTCATGACCCCAAAGAGAACACTAAACTAAGTACACTAGTAACCAAAGATGAGTCAGCTACAGCGGGGTGTTTGTTTGTTTTATGATTCATGGAGGGTCAGTGTAAGATCTAAAATAAAATAATTAGGATGACACATGACAAGTTAATATTTATCATCTAATGAACAGCTGTGAGACTAAATTTTCCTGGTTCCACTTGAGGGCGCTCTTCTACGACTGTCTGTCAGCAGAAGGTCAGATTTAATAGCACTGTAACTTCTTATAATGGCTGCAAAGCTAAAAATAAAGTTTTTAAAGTCAAGGAGAATCACCATCGCAGTATGACAGCCTGAACCAGCCACAGCCTGAAAAGGAGATGCTAAATGAACCAAGTTGAGACTAAACAGCTAACTAGACACTTTCCATCTAAAGTAACTTACAGCACGCTAATTGCCGGGTCAGTCAGTCTCCCTGGAGAAACCAAGTGTTATGTGTCCTGCTTGACAAACTGCATGACAAAATTGCGATTACAGTTCCTGAGTCACTCTGTGTCAGGTCCAAACCTGCACCGATTGCATGTAAGAAGCCAGATGCTTAACCATTAGACTACCACATCCTCACTAGCGAGTAAACATAACTTCCAGTCCGCAGCAAAACAGCAGATGGCTCTATAAAACATTATAGCACTATAAAACATTAGTGCACACGCACACACAGGTTCTCCATCTATTCATCTCATTCTCTCATTACCTCATACTCATCCTGAAGGATGGCCAACTGTTTTTTAGTGTTCACCTGGGCTTCCAGTGTAGGGTCAAGCTAAAACAAACATGCAAACGGAAAAATTAAAATGATAACAAGAAGGAAACTATAATAATGTTTTATTAAACAGCATAAATCAGTTCTGGCTGAAGTTCTGTCAGTGTCACTTGGTCTGTACATGAAAAGATTATATGACGTTATGTTTTAGTCTATGAAGTTTTACATACCTTCTTTTTTATCTTCTGCGCATCATATCTAATCTGAGTGAATTCTCTCAATCCAAACGACCCTCCCACAACCAGCAGCTTCAGACAAACATTAAATATGAGCAGAAATATAAGCACAATACAGGCAAAATGATTGATTTGACAAAGGCAGAAAGTATAATATAAGTTAAATATTAGTAACTAATGTTGGACAAAGACTGCATCACTCAATTTTCAAAATAACAGTTTAAACAACATGTAAAAAAAATCGGTAATTTAAACAAGTTAGATTTAATATTACAGTAAATTACGATAAACATTACTATTATTATTTAAACCATGATTTCGGTCTAGTTATTACTAAGTCTTGTGTTCCACAACTTAACTATAAACACTGGACTTTAATCAATGACAGCTCATACTGCATACAAACATTACAGCGCTCACCAGCATCGGGATCCCATATGTCACTGTCCTGTTCTTTTGGAGTTTACGAACTTGATTCCACATGTTTAGTTAATGCATGCCATTCTACAATTTCATATTAGCAAGAATAAAGTCAGTCGGACATAATTCAACATGACTCGACTGGGCGCCGCCATATAAACCAAACAAACTCCACACTCCCCGCAGCGACTTCGTACAGCCTCATATTGCGTCCGTGTAAAACTAAGAACGAAGGTATTGGTTCCACTTTAAAAAAAAAAAAGAGGGATTAGAAATTAAATAACTGTGTAAATTACAACTGCTCATTTACAGTGTTAATTTAGTTCAACTATAACGGAACACAATAGATCTCTTAACGTTATATTTGAACGTATATTAGAACTTTATATTAGTTCTTTGTCATGGAAAGAAATTTTATAAATAAATTTAGTACCTTTTTTTTTTTTACCAGAAAACATATAACTCAAGAAATCAAAACTAGTTTTGTGGCTTTTAGACCACATCTGTTAGCTTTGAGACCATCTATCTATATGCTTGTGTACTCTCTAAATTTCGACATAATGCACTTTGAGACAGCATTTGTCAGAATCGAAGTCCTATAGGTACTTACAAAAGTAAATTATTTTCATGGTGTTTGTTAGTACATCACAAGTCAAAGAACACACAAAGTCAAAATGGCACATCAATATCTCTAATCAAAAGCTAATAAAATAAAATAAAATGTGTACATTGTGTGAAAATATAGGATTTCTTATATATGTTCTTCCACACTTTCCTGTTTTATTAGGAAATATACAGCACATTTTATTTAAATAGTGATAAGTCGAGTAAATAAAATGAATAAAAGTTAAAATTAGTTATGAAATTAATGCCTTTCCTTTTACATTAAAATAGATAATTGTCTTAAGTTGACACATTTCTCCTTCATACAAGCAATTAAAAACACAAACACACAACTGTGATTGTTTCTTTATTTAAATTTTCATAATATTTAAAAGTTTTTTAATAAGGTGACGAAAAATACCTTTTTTGTTCTGTATAATAAAATATGTTAACTTTATTCCTTTATGAAGAGGAAAAAAACAAAACAAAATAAGAAGTAAAAATACAGAAAACATTCCTCCTGGAAGGGAGTTTTTCAATGTTGCGCTTGGAAGCAGAAAGGGGAAGGTCTATTCATGAAGTCTGACTCATCACAAGAAAACGTTCAAAAAACATCATCAACAAGCATTTACTGTATGTAAAAAAGCGGATCAATCGTAACACATGGTCATGCAGTATCACATGGATCAGTGGTCACAATGATGCTGCCTACCCCATGCTTTATGTACAGTATATTTGTTACCGTTTGTTGCATATTGTACATTTACACAGAGAAAAGAGTATCAGGATTGCCTGTCCCGTTTCCTATTCACTCCTTCAATGTGACAAACACATAATTACCAAGTAGGATCTTCTGACAAGCATGTGAAGGCTGCATCTTTGTGACACTAACCCCAAGACAGGCTTCATGAGCACAGCTGGAGAAAGAACAGGAAGTTGCATATGACACACAGGAAGGGCCTGGGCTGATAGGAGGATACAAAAATGAGCGAACGTCATTGGGTGGTGCCGATGGAAGCTGCTCTGATGGGCTGATCTGGGACCAGTTCTGCTTGCTCTGCTTGTTGGTGCTAGATCAGCACTGAAGAGACACTTTTACTCTCACAGTGCGCGAGCTATGTGTGTGTATGAATACGCATATTTGTGTGTTTGTATCAGAAGGC